AAGGAATAAGCAAAAACTAACAATAAATCATAAAAAAACATAAAAATAGCAAAATTTCATAATTTTATACACGTTACAAAATTATGAGAAGATGCTAGGCGTTTCCATTATTCCATTATTTTGCCTTTAATTAAGCTATGTGTAGAAAGAGGTTTGGTAATAAGTAATACATATTTTATGAAAAAGAGAATAAATAAATATACAAGGTATGATATAGCACATAATGAAAGTAGTTTGTTAGATTATGTATTGGTGGATAAAAGGTTGATGGGTAGGTAGGTAAGACACATAGGCAACAGTTAGGCAACTTTATTCCGAAACGTATCGCCTACACAGTAGGCTTCTTCAGTCGAATACAGAAAGTAGGCAGGAACAGTAGAGATGTGAAGACGATGTAATCAGTCCATCACCCTTGAAGTCGTAGAATTTGAGGTTGTCAGTCCCTCAGCCTGGAGAAGTTCAGTTCCATAGTCAGGAACTATCTGAAGATCAAGCGACAGTGCGGAGACTTAAATACTGTCGGAAGGAGAGGTGCAGAGTAGTAGTAGTGAGAATGTAGCCACTGAGAGGTCAGGTCCCTCTCAGATCCAACAGTTCTCACTTGAAAGGGTTGTCCAAGGTGTTTTCTGTACCAAGATGCCATGTGTTGCAGTGTCTGACAAGATGAACATCAAAATGGTATACAATACCGACAGGTTGGTAGGTAAGACACATAGGCAACAGTTAGGCAACTTTATTCCGAAACGTTTCGCCTACACAGTAGGCTTCTTCAGTCGAATACAGAAAGTAGGCAGGAACAGTAGAGATGTGAAGATGGACAACCCTTTCAAGTGAGAACTGTTGGATGTGAGAGGGACATGACCTCTCAGTGGCTACATTCTCACTACTACTACTCTGCACCTCTCCTTCCTACAGTATTTAAGTCTCCACACTGTCGCTTGATCTTCAGATAGTTCCTGACTATGGAACTGAACTTCTCCAGGCTGAGGGACTGACAACCTCAAATTCTACGACTTCAAGGGTGATGGACTGATTACATCGTCTTCACATCTCTACTGTTCCTGCCTACTTTCTGTATTCGACTGAAGAAGCCTACTGTGTAGGCCAAACGTTTTGGAATAAAGTTCCCTAACTTTTGCCTGTGTGTCTTACCTACCAACCTGTCGGTATTGTATACCATTTTGATGTTCATCTTGATGGGTAGGCTTCAGGATGTACATGTTTATAGAGGGGCAACTGATATATCAGATCATTATTTAGTTGTAGCTACAGTTAGAGTAAGAGGTAGATGAGATAAGAGGAAAATGGCAACAACAAGTGAGAGGGAGGTGAAAGTGTATAAACTAAGGGAGGAGGAAGTTCGGGTGAAATATAAGCAACTATTGGCAGAAAGGTGGGCTGGTGCAAGTATGAGTAGTGGGGGGTTGAAGAGGGTTGGAATAGTTTTAAAAATGCAGTATTAGAATGTGGGGCAGAAGTTTGTGGTTATAGGAGGGTGGGGGCAGGAGGAAAGAGGAGTGATTGGTGGAATGATGAAGTGAAGGGTGTGATTAAAGAGAAAAAGTTAGCTTATGAGAGGTTTTTACAAAGCAGAAGTGTTATAAGAAGAGTAGAGTATATGGAAGTAAAAGAAATGGTAAAAGAGAGTGGTGAGAGAGTGTAAAAGGAGAGCGGATGATAGAGTGGGAGAGGCACTGTCAAGGAATTTTAATGAAAATAAGAAAAAATTTTGGAGTGAGTTAAACAAGTTAAGAAAGCCTGGGAAAATGGATTTATCATTTAAAAAAAACAGAAAAGGGGGGTTTTGTAGATGGGGGGAGGGAAAGGGTTTTGGGGTTTGATGGTGAGAAAATTTTGGGGAAACTTTTAAATGTCACGAAAAAAGGGAGGCGGTAATTTCATGCACTGGCCAGGGGGGGTTTATCTCTTTTGGGGAGTGAAGAAGAAAAAGATGTGGTGTGGGGAAGGTGGGGGAGGCTTTACGTAAATGAAAGGGGGGTTTTTAAAGCAGCTGGAACTGACGGGATCATGGCAAAAAATTTAAAAAAGGGCGGGGGGGAAAAATAGTTTTGGAAGTGGCTGGTATTTTTGTTTAAAAAATTATAAAAGGGGGGAAAAGGTCCCCTGGGGGATTCGCGGAGGGGGGCGTGTATAGTCCCTTTATATAAAGGGAGGGGGAAAAAAGAGATTGTAAAAAAATTATACAGGAATTAAGTTTCCCGAGTTACCGGGAAAAAGTGTACGGTAGGGTTATTAAAAAAAATTTTTTACAGGAAAGACGGGAAAGTAGAATTGGGGGATGAGCAGGGGGGTTTTTTAGAGTGGGTAGGGGTTTGTGTAGACAAGTTTTTTACATTGAAGTTATATGTAAACCCCCCCCAAGTATTTAAAAAAAAGTAGGGAAGTTTTTATTGCATTTTGGTTTTAGAAAAGGTATTTTGGTTAGAGGGGGGGGGATAGGGGAAAAACGTGGCAGATGTTGAAAGTTTTGGGAAAATAGGTGGAAAAGTTACTAAATGTTTAAAAACGAGTTTTTATAAAGATGGGTGAGGCTAGGTTAGGGTGGTAGAAGAGAGGGGGAATTTCTTCCG